AGCAATCCTTTCTGATCCAACTGCTTCCTCACACAATTAATCTGGATTACGCTGTGAAGTGCATATATTGTTCCTCAACAACTTTCAGGACAATGGTTGACTTGCATCCCCGATGCGGATTACATTTGCGTATTACAGGTGAGGGCAATAGATCAAATTCTGAATCTGCTTTTTTAAGACTATTACACTGTGGTACTGACGCTGAACATGAGCTCAATTTACTTCTCAATGGCAATACCGTTCCTTCGACTCCATTATGCACAGTGGCCTGTTTTGTTTTATGTGAGGAATAATGAAACTGGAAAATGAAATAATATAGTTGCAGACCAGGAATTAATCTGGGCCTCTATGGCAAAGCGATACACAATGTGTGCAGTAATTTGCGTAGTGATAAAATATTATTATTGTTGGTTTAACTCCCTGCGAATGGTCAAAGACATTTGCAGTTAAAGAGGGGTCGCTCAACTCCGCTTCGCCGATTATTCAAAAATAATTATCAAAATATAATATATAATGATATACAGCATATAGAATGTACAAGCCTATGCGTTGGCCATAATTTCAAGATCAACAAAGTGTCCCACGCATGTTACCGCACTGCTGTAACCTTTAAAATCAGGCCTGTAGCGGAACATCGCAAGAGGTATTCGCAGCACGCAAGGGAAAGGTGTCAATCATATTGGCCGACGTGAATGCAAACATCTCCTGCTGTAAAGATCGCAAACCCCTGGTGCAAACGACGTGCCTGCATGCGTATTTATGTATATGCTCATGTGTTTATGCGCGTATATAAGCGTGTATATTTGTACACACGAGTACGTGTGTGTGAAGATGTGTATGTGCAGATGTCCGTGTGCGGGAGCAGCAGTGAAGTGGTTAGCGCGCTGCGCTACGAACCCGGCGACCCGAGTTCAATTTCCGCTCACGGCCAACACCGGTGACGGTTCATCTGAACCGGTCCTGGGCCTCCCCTAGGTCGACTCAGCCTTAAAATCAGTACCTGGTGTGGTGCGTAGTGAACATCGTCACCGGGGAGACAAAGGCGGTCGGGCGTGGTGTTGGCCACCCACCCCCTCGTGTGCCGTGCCGGCCTTCATAGGTGCTCGCTAACAGCACTTGCCCCTACAGTCTGTTGCAGGCTATACGGGGGATCTTTGTCTTTGTATGTGTGTGTGAAGATGTATGTGTGTGTACGTGCAGATGTGTGTGTGTACGTGCAGATGTGTGTGTACGTGCACATGTTGTGTGTGTGTACGTGCAGATGTGTGTGTGTACGTGCAGATGTGTATGTGCGTGCAGATGTTGTGTGTGTGTACGTGCAGATGTTGTGTGTGTGTACGTGCAGATGTGTGTGTGTACGTGCAGATGTTGTGTGTGTACGTGCAGATGTGTATGTGTATGTGCGTGCAGATGTGTATGTGAAGATGTGTGTGTGTACGTGCAGATGTTGTGTGTCCCCCCCCCCCCTTGTGTGCGTATGCGTATGTATTGCAGATTTGTGTATGCGTGTGTACGTGTGTGCAGATGCGTTTGTGTATGCGTGTAGATGTGGTTACGTATGTGCATACGTGCACGCATATGTGAGTGCATGCATACGCGCATGTGAGGTGCAATCCAAATGACAGCATTGCATAACTATAATTATACAAGAATATTGATAACCGTTGCAATCGCATTGGTTGTTATAAACAAAAACAGGAGCAACCATAAGATTGCCTCGCATAAACAAAAGCCCACAGAGCAGCGGTCTGACAATCGCGTCTCATGAGGCAGCCGCAACGCTGTCTTTAAAAAAACAACAACACCCAAGACCAACACCTTTCGCTTGCAAACGTTTTAAAAATAACAACAAAAACAACACACAGCGACACGATTTACGCGTGACACCCCCCCCCCTCCCGTCGAAGACCGACTAGGCCGCACTGAAGCCTACGGTCTTGCTTGAACGCTCAGCGGGGTCAAGTAAGCCAAGGGACGGGGGGGCCCGAGGGAGCCCGGGGGGGGGGGTGATGGTGGTAGGTGGTCACCTTATACTGCGACCCGGCGTCGGGGGCCCTCGGAAGGGCACCCGCCGGTTCGGGTCATCGTTACCGTGGGTGTTTATCGTTAGCATAGCGGCGGTCGTGCCTCACCTCCTCGGTGATCTGCGAGTCCTGCAGACCGCCGTTCCCGTTCACTCCAGCTTGCGGTATGGCTGTCGCCATTTTTTCGCCTCCAGCCCCCTTGGTCACGTGGGTCTTGGTGGAGGAGAGTGGTGGGCGGGGCGGGACGGGGAAGGGGGGCAGTGGACCACGAGCTTCTGTTTGTGGTGGGTAGTGGTGGCCCGCGTGCGTTATATGCACCTTAAACCCCAGCCGCCGGGAATCTTTGCAGACAGTGGTGATGATGATGGGCGCATGTCAATAGGCGTTGCGTTGGGGAGGCTTGGACGTTGAAAAGGCATACAGGTGTTGTTGATTACAAAGAGTCGACGAGGGTTTGGTTCTTCATCACGTGGACGTCGTGCAAACGCGATATCGACGTTGATGCAACGGCCAATCGATTTTTAACGCTCACGACCCCGAGCGTGAATTTGAAGGGATAACAAACGATTGTTCCGCGTTGCGTTGAAAGTTAGCAAAGTGGACGTCGATAATAAAACAAATCAGGTTAATTTGTCGAACAATAACGGAGACGATCCTAACGAGATGCGAAAAACAATACAAATCGATCGATCCGTGGAGCACGATTGCAACGCGAACCGTTGCACTTCGTCGAATGGCGGGGGTCAAATGCATCGTTGCGTGGTACGAGCCGTGCACGAATGCATCGGTTCATTGATTATCTTGGAAACTCACACTCACAATGCACGCATTGTACGACAACCGATTGACAACGGATGCAAATTGCATGTTAAAAGAAATACGCAATTTGCAGAAGGCAAAACGAGCAACGATTCTTTAATGGGATCGTACCCTTACAATTGCGACAATTCGGCTAATCGCTGGGTTGGTGGAAGGCTGGAATGTTTCGTTTAGAGTATTTGCTGCGACAACACATTTCCACGTAATAAGCCACATTTCGTGGAGCCATCATTTCTAACAACCAGGTAGGTGGCTTCTGAAAAGTAGCTAAATAGCGCAGTGGGCTTTACCTGGTAAAACAATCATACGTTTGAGTTTCCCTTACGATCAATTATCCATTCACCTTCATGCTGGTAGGTACAAATCTGCAACTAAACTTCGCCCTGCCATCCAATGCTGTCGATTTCTTGCTAATGGTTCGGGCTACTTTCTTCCCTCTGCATGACCGACTGCCTCGCTCAACAAAATAATTGTCCACCGGTTTCTGTTGAGTCTTGAGATGAGGTCACGGTTGCCGTGTTGTTGGTCTAGATAGGACACACAGGCACTCACTGTTCGTGTTTTCATCCAGTGGTCCAGCTTCACTCAAGTTGCTGCTGGTGACAATGACCCCAAGCAGGGAGGTCGCCAAATGGCTTAAGAACCTCCCCGAGTTTGAATTCTGGCAGCCGCCCGCAATTAAACCTGGATTCTCAAGTGCAGTTCGCTGGGCCCTTGGCCAGTCACCGATGACTGCAAATAAATATCGCGTTTCATTTGGTGTTGAACTTGGTCTGGCTCAATTTGCTGCTCTGAGAATGATAAATATTTTGACAAAGAACACGGTTTCAGCTAAGAGGTCACTTAAAAGAAGTAGCTCTCTTGGTACCTGCTTTCGTGGGACATTAACATAAAGGGAAGCACTGTTGCAAGGAATCCAAAATGATAACTTCGTATCATGACTTAACACCAATAGCGGTAGAATGGGGTTAGACAACATGAACATTATTTACCCCAAAATGATGGCGTGTTGTTGGAAGGGATCCTGAGCACGATTTTAAAACAAAACTCTTTGAAGAGTGCTCTGTTGTTCCACTAACCAATCTGTATCCTGGGTAAAGACCATTTTAAAACACACAATGATTAAACAGTGGTCGGCTCTATTGGTGGTCTCGAGTTTAGTGGCGTAACCTGTCATTTATCCAAAAGCGTTGCGCAGGAGACGGGGCGTCCCGTCTGCTGAGGAACTACAGCCTCATCATGATACTCGAATAAGGTTCTGGATGGGGAAGGAGCTGAGCCACAGGTCCACCAGGGAAAGCCAACGCGCATCAATAGGTTTGGATGGATACTAAGTTTTAATATTAAAAACAAAACCGCACACACACCATTTTGTAATTTCAGGCATCATCATACCTAACCATGCAAGAGAAATGTGAAAACTGGGAACGGGGCAAGAGGCAATGACTGTACAGCACCGATAATTCCGAATAAGGGATAACACCGTTATGCATTCCTTTTGTGTCATTTGCCCTGCTGCTGTCAAATAATGTGCACAAACTTGGGAAGTCCAAAACAGGACTGTGTACATGACACATGCAGTGCGGTGAGACCACGTGATACACAATGCACGATGAGAGTAAGGACTTTCATTTATCAAGCACTTAAATGCCCCTGAATTTCAGAGAACCTTCTATCAACATCTCAAAATTACAATGGCTATTGTTTTATTTTATCCGAGGTGATCCTCTGCCACGCAACAATGCATTGGAAAGTCTGTTCTCCAATGTCCAGTGTTTTCAGAACACAAATTGAATATAACACAATGTATTAGGGATTTTTTTATATATCGCAGATGCAAACTGTATATAACGCGACTGAATGAAAATCTAACGTCGCGCGAGTAGGCATAATCGGTTGTACGGCTGCCTTTGAGCAGCATCACAAGGCACCTCAGTCTTTGGTCAGCCTGCATATGCAACGGACGTGTTATCGCCGACTGCTTTACCCCGTTTTATATAATATATTATAACGCGATTTTTCCATAACATGGTGTTCTTCAGGAGCGCAACTACCGCGTAATAGAACAGACTGTTCTTGCAATGTGCCCTGTCCCCTACTGCGACTGTTACACACCTCTTACCAATCTCTCCACGCATAAAACAGAAACAAAGGCCACTTGTTATTTACCTTTATTTACACGTTCACAGCCATGTTTTCCCCGCCACAGTGGCTTTTATTTACACAACACAGGTGGCTTGTGTCTTTAAAATAAAATCAACACGTTCAATAAGTAAATTCATACACCAGTTCGCTAAACTACAGCTTATAAATGGGGGCAAAAAAACCCTGCACAATGCATCTCCATTTGCAGCACTGAAACACACTTCTTCAAACGTGGTTAAACTTTAAAGCACGCAAGTGTGTGGTTTATAAAAGTCTGTTATTTCAGGCTACCTCTCCATTTTACTTAGTCCTGATATTGCACTTGCTTGGCTAAACATACTTGAGACTACCTTCAAAGACTTGGCAACGTATCCGTCCAGTGACAGTGAAATGATTAGCTTTGCAACTCATCTTACAGTATGGTAACAATAGGGCTGTTAAGACAACACTGATAAGAAAAAATGTAATTACTTTATATTATTCCGCTCATTTACACAGTAAAACGTCACCCAGTCTCAATTCTTTCTCAGGAGGGCCCTGCCAAGTTTTCGCAGTAGACGCCAATAACTGCGATTTATATAATACAATGGGCCTACTCTTACAATCAACGATATGGGGATCTTTAACGTAAACTGTGAAAACGGCAAGTATTTCTACGGTTGATACACCCGTACTTTTAATCAGGGGGACCTGCTGGATTCGAACCGTGACCCCTTCTGCAACACAAACGGCGAACGTGCTCGCGCTACGCCGTGTGTCCCCCCCCCCCCCCAAATTTGGATTGACGCACATCGGATCGTTTAAACGCTGACTTGTACATGGTTGGCAGCATCGCTGTGATATTCCTATTAGTCTTGCGAACACTGCTGCGTCAGGAACCCTGTTGAAATGTGATATGCACCAGCCCCCCCACGCACACACACGCACGCACGCACACACACATACACGCGCAACGGCTATTTCTCACGCAGGACACAGACGCCAGCGTCACAACGCTGGGTCCCCATGGAGGACACCACCTCCCAGGTGTCGATGATGGGGTCGTAGCACTCGATGCTGCTTAGCAGCGAGTTTCCATCGTAACTGCCGTGAAAAGTGGAAAGAGGTGTCAGCAACGTCTGGGTTTACAAATAAAAAATACCAATGCATACAAATTCATGTAGATCTTTTTTTTTATGGAAACGCAATTTGAAATGGTCATTGATGTAGGGCACACAAATTTATATCGTAAATATTTGGAAGAGCCCATTGTGATTAATTTCCTACAATATTTTGAAACAAATACCTGTGACCAAAGTTCCATAGGGAGAGTTACTTGTATTTTTATTTGGGGGTATTTTTTGTTACATTACATATACATCTCAATCCAATGCTGGATGAGGGTATTCCTCAGCCATGTGAGTCATAGGGATTATGTGACCATACTTCACTAAACTGGTCAGTGTAGGTTGATGAGGAGGCAGGGTGGGGGTGGGTACAGACAGAACTAGTTCAGATATCACTCCCCACTTAGGTCAACCATGGCCAAGCTGAGGTCGCCAGGTTGAGGGCACAGTGCACTAACCACTCTAGTGACCGGTCAAAATAAAAGGTTACTTGCTCTTGCCAAAGCTGGCGGAAGGACAACCACTAGCGGAGGGGGGGGGGGAGTGTGTCAAGAGCCCTCCTCAAGAAGGTATTTTTCGGCCTACTCTTCCACAATGGGCTGGGCAGACATTTTACAAAGAAGTGGGCATACCCCACTCTTTGCGCCACCACACGCGGACATGCCGATCGACTCAGTGCCCTGTACCCATTTACACTGCGCATTGTTTTCAACGGTCGTGCCGCGAGATCGATTCGGGGACCTCTGGATACGCGCTAACAATTTCAGCACGGCAGCATCCACCGGTCAAAGTTTGCACAATTCTTACACGGATAATACTTTCTTCACAGCGCGCTGTAGTGAAGCAATTTCCAAAAACGCAAAAAGGTTCGTGCCGTAAGCAGCGCGCGTGCGCGTCATCACCCGGCGATGGCGTAAAGGCGTCCGCGCAGCACGGCAGCGCCCACGTAGCAGCGCGGCGTGGTCATGCTCGTGATGCTGCTCCACGTGTCCGTGCGGATGTTGTACGACTCGACGGAGGCGAGGTGCGCGGCGCCGTCAAACCCCCCCACCACGTACACGTGGTCGTTCAGCAGTGCCACGCCAGCGCCTGCGTCGTCGCACACCGCCAGGCGGGGGGGGGAGGGTGGGTGTCATTCGCGTAGCTTTTGTAAAAATAAAAAAGCAATGGTTAAATCAGGAGCGAAATGTGACGAGCTGTTCCATAAATGGCGAAATCGATGTGGGTTAATTTTAGGGGTGGGGTGCCCGGGTATATCCGTTTTATGAACAAAACCACATTAATTCTGCTAAGATCAAATTTAGCCCATCTAGAACTGGTCATGTTGTTTCTATCGATTTTTATATTATTATAAATATATTTTTGGTTAGAAAAAACACCACACTAAAGTCCCAAACAAATCCTATGCTACAGTACTTACTGCAACATACAGTACTAAACCCTGACTGCCAAGAGCAGGACACTTATGCTCGGTGTGGAGACACCACATAACGAGTATTACTTTGAACCTTTGGAGATTTTTACATTTCAGGAGTGATATTTTATATTTTTTTCCGATTAACATGGTAATGCAACTCTATTTTTATTATTTTATTTAAAATAGAAAATCTAATTTTAGGGATCCCCCCCCAAACTCCCCGTTATACGCAAATAATATCCTCAGGAAACACTATCTGGCCATGTTATTGAGGACAGACCGTGCTTGGGAAGTGTTCAAGGAACACACATAACCTAAAAAAACTAGTATCTTTAATCTCATAGCTACACATAGGATGTGTTACTAGGCAGTGCAATGTGATTTGAAGCTTCATTAACAATAGACTTTGGCAGTTATGGTCACGTATGACACTTTGGCACTTTAGTGATGTCATGCATATGCATTTCAATGCAACATCAATGCCTTCACATCCCTAGAGTCCTCTGGTAGCACATGTTCTATTAATGTATGTTGTTTCTCTCATTAATGACTGTCATAACTCTTGTTTGGTGTTTGGGTTGCATCAACCTTAAGAATTCCATCTTGTCTTCTTGGTTCTTTCGGTCAAGTCACGTAGAAGGGAAGTAATAAAATAATAAAAATAAAACATAATAAAATAATTCTCACGACTTTACCGAAAGAACCAAGAAGATGAATCCCTGCAGTCACGAAAGCTTTAAATCGAAATTCCATCTTGGTTACGAGGCCACTTAGGAAACCATATTGCATCAATTTACATCAATTGTTTGAGTTCAGTCCCAGATCCTACATATTTAAAATTGGATATTTTTTTGGTGGACAAACTGAATACAAAGCGACATTGAAAGACAACTCGTCACTTACTCTAATTCTTATTTTGGTGGCCATTTCCTGTTAACATCTTACCGTGTCGTGGGAATTCTGACATTGATTTCGTCAAAGCTGTTGATGCCAAAACATCTTGCCAAAACTTTCTACCTTCTGCCAGATCCCGCAGTGCTGCACAGTGACCTCCAAGATGTAATCTAATAATACCCCCATCACCTCATCTTAGGTCTTCCTCCCGGTCACCCCACACTCATGGAGACAACTCCACTGCCTAACTCAATAACCGACTCTCCACCATCTTGCACACATGCTCTATCCATAGAAAATGTGTTTCACCTAATTATAACTAGAACACTAACCAGCCATGTTACGTTCTCTTCTGGACTTACTCATAATTTCCTGTCTTGCCGTGAAATTCCTAGCATCTATCTCGGAAAATCAGTGCTCAAACAGCAACTTATTTTGAACTTCTAAGTTAGAGTCCAGCTCTCATGACCCATATTCACTCTGGATTTACACAGTTGAATAATACTCATTGTGACCTCACCACAAATCGCTCACCTGAACATGCGGAGACCCCACTCCATACCTGCCCCGGTAACCTACCCCCCACCAACCCTGCACACGTCCTACCCAAAGAGGAAACGAGATGCCCCTGCATTCGCCACAATGTTTTAAACACCATTGTTGAATCCAGCTACGCGGCCAATAACCACTGTGCTTTATTTATAGAGTGAATTTTTGTCATCGCGACCTCGCCGTACGTCGCACCCCACGTGCGAGTGTCATGGGAAAGCGGCGCTGGCATCGCTCCCACTGTGTTGCGTGCTCACCCGAGCGCTTCGTGGACATGGGGGAGACGTGCGACCAGTGGCCTGTGTGCGGGTCGAATCTCTCCACCGAGTTGAGGATGTTGATGCCGTCGTACCCTCCTGTTGCATCGTGCATGCACACACACACACACACACCCCGCATTCCACATTAGCGGGCTGTTGGAAGCTTATGCCAGATGTAAATGTGTAAAGCCTTATTGCGAAATAAATTATGTAAACAAGAGGAAGGTAACGATCCATCCATTAAAATGGAGTCGCACGATTGTGACACTTGAACTGCATCGAGTGTGGAGGAATCATTTATATGAGTTACGGAAATTGTAGATAAATACCCTCTGACCATATCATCCAGAATCTGCCCGATTTATTCAGATCTCAGAAACTAAGAAAGATTGAGCCTGGATAGCACTTTGAAGGGTGACTACCAAGCATAAATCAGGTGTTGTAGGCTGCGGGGCTACGTCGTAGACAGCAGAGGGCATTGCAGCAAAATCCATTGCTATACTGTACAAACGTCCCACATCTATGCCCCACGCCTTCACCAAACCACCGACCAGCATGGTGAAGTATGTTTAACACGTAGGCTTTCGCGACCAATATTATTCATAATATAGGTTTTTGGGTCAGATCGCGTTATTTATAAATGTGTCGTAACCCTCCACCACCCGACACGGCCAAACAGTAAAAAATGTGTCACGTTTTTCAAAGGCTAAAAATGCGAATTATTTTGTCCTTTGAAAAACGGACACATTTTTTACTGTTTGGCCGTGTCGGGTGGTGGAGGGTTACGACACATTTATAAATAACGCAATCTGACCCAAAAACCTATATAATGAATGGTGAAGTATGGTCAACGAAGTCACATCCCACACAGCATTGGGAGCTCCTCATCCAGCAGTAGATTGACAAGGGCTGTACATGTGCATTAACACACGTAAGCAATATGCACGTAAAGTCATATTAAAATTTTGTATCACGTGCAGGATATGTGAATTGAATTTGCGTAAAATAATCATGTTTCACATTTGGAAATTATACATCAATATAATCCTGCAGACAATGGAAAGACTGACAGACCAAATGAGACAAGATAAGACAATACCAACAAGACAGTACAAATTAGTAAAACAAAAATTACAGCTTGTTTTATTCAACGTGTAACCTTAAGTCATGACAATTCGTATCACAAACAACAATAATTCATTATGTGCCTAATACACAAACCGTAATATTCTACAACATCCAGCTCATAAGCAATAGCCACGTTCCATATGGAAAACTTACCATCATGAGGGACTTAAACAGTGCAGGTATAAGTAAGCCTTTGGTACATTTCATTGTAGCGCGGCAAGAAATTCGAAGCGAAAGGCACCTTTTTTTAAAGGCCTCGTAAGTGAGGGATGCCTCAAGTAATCAAGAGATTGAATTCAAAGTGGAGACAGAAGGATGATAATTGCAACGAAGGCTGCTTTTGTGGTCACTACGCCTTCCCGACTCAACACCGACCTACGCAGAAGATGACGCCGTTGGCGACAACCAAGCCGGCGCCCTCACGTGCCGTGGCCATGTCTCCCAGCATGCTCCACTGGTCGATGTTGGGGTCGTACCGTTCCATGCTTGTGTGCCGCCGGCTGCCGTCGAACCCGCCTGCCACGTATATCATGTCTGCCCGCAGTCGCACAAGACGAACACGCATGGGGGGGGAAAACATTTAGAAATGCTTTCCAACCAAGGTTGAGAGCGTTTGATGCATTATAGCTGTCCGTCCGGCCATCCCTCCGTTCGTAATGGGGGGCGGGGGGGGTGTTGTAACTCTCTTCAAGATGATCCAAAATGAATTAAGCTTTTGTTGCGTTGTTATTAGGGACTCACCTGAAAAAAAGGCACCAAATCTAAGGGATTTTTTTTGTATGAAAACAAATATTTTTGGAGATGCAAACCTATTTGCAAATATGCAAAACTGAATTTTGCCAGCATATCTCATAGGGCTATCGTTTTGTAAATACGTCTGAGGACAAAACGTATGTTGGGGAGCGTTACATTTTCAAAGCATTTTCATGACTTGTTTAAATGAAGTTTGCTTGATTCCAAAGGCAATGACAGTAATCATCCTTGGCCATATCATTATATAGGACTGCCTTTATTTTGAAAAGAGAAAAAGGCCCAAACATGAAAAAGCCTCTAAAACACCGCTATCCTTTTTTAAAGTTACACAGAAGATTCTTAATGATAAAACTCTTTTTGCTAAAATGTTACACCTACACATCAACATACGTCACATTATTTCCACCAAATTGTCAAAATGCCTACTTTAAATTGCCAAACAATAATATATGGAAGACTACACGCTGGCTCCAGATCCTCATTTGGCATGGTTTTGGAAATCCACCGGAGGTTTTACAACTATTATTATTATCTTCTTGGTTCTTTCAGTAGTCACGTAGAAGGGAAATAATAAAATAATAAAAATAAAACACCATACAATTATTTTATTATATTATATTATTATGTTTTATTTTTTTTATTTCATTACTTCTCTTCTACGTGACTTTACCGAAAGAACCAAGAAGATGAATCCCTGCAGTCACGAAAGCTTTAAATCGAAAAATATTATTATTATTTTACCATCACAAGCCCTCCAGGTTTTTCCCAATGGAAACCAGGGGTACAAAGAGCTGTAAAGGCAAATTAGCGCTCCACAGGCATAGTCCCATGTTAATACAATCGGATAACGAGCAAATATGTTGATAAGCGCGATAGTCTCGACAGCAGTGCTGGCCAGGTTGTCATTCCTTTTTGCACAGCAACAAATAAATGGCTCTTAATTTATTTCTTAAAGGTCACTCTGCAATAGATCAGTTTGGTTTGAAATTTGACAATGATCACTGCGCAATTATGTGCAAGGGTGAGTTAATGTGTCTATATCTTAGCTAGAACCAAAGCCAAAAGAATTAAGATTGCAGAAGCAAAATACATTTATCAAACCCAAGTGATGTGACAACAAGTGTCTTTCCGTGCACATCTAATGGAGAGTGGTGGTACAGTGAGTTGTGAAAGTGCTCCCTCCAGCCAGCAACCTGGGTCTGATTACCGGTAATGAATACGTCAGTGGTGTCCGAACATATCCTGGGACTCTTAATCGGTCAACTCAGCATTAACGAAGCACTCATTAATGCTGTACTCATCAGCGCAAAGATAAACAAAGGTCTCTGGACGTGGTGCTAGCCACCCCACCTCAATGACCACGGACATGCCACAACAATTCCAGGGCATGGACTGCCAATAATCGGTATCGGAAATGGCTTCTACAACATCGTCCATTGTGAAGCACTTCGTTTGCCCAAATTTGGAAATCTGATCGCTGCTCCCAATCACAGAGGGTCCCATGACTACCAATGGTTGTGTGCTCTGTAAAAACCCAGAAAAGTTCAAAACACATTGTTTTCAGACAAACTCTGTTTTCATTGGCTAAGGAGACTTCAGTAAGTCTATACCAGTGGGTCGGAAACCAAAATAGCAAGAGCAGCCTTTTTTTTTATTCGGTAATAAAGTCAATATTTCAAGAGCCGCAATGCATGTGAATAACATCACAAAGTGGTACTTAAAAGAGCCGCAAGCGGCTCAGGAGCCGCAGGGTGCCGTCCCCTGGTCTTTACCATCGCAGTAATAAGTCGTCATAGTTGCTCTCGGTAAACAAGTTGCTCGCGACAATTCTTGGTAATGATTGCATTCATTTGTCCCTTTTTCTTCCCTCCATTCTCTGGAGGTAGCCATTTACAAAGTAAACCTTTTTTTTACAATCACTTATACACAATGCCCATCGTGCGAGCTCAACACATGTCATGAATACATCAGAGGTTGAGCGGTGTCCGAACCTGTACAGGCCCTCTTCTGTGTCAACTAAACTTTGAATGAGTACCTACTGCAGTGACCCAAGAGTCGTGGTGCCGGCCAGGCAACTTAACACGTTCAGAAATCACGGTTGGACGCATGACGGCCTTAACAGCACTTGTGCGGACAGCACACGAGGATGAACGGTGGAAGGAACTTCTCTGCATTTTGTCTCATTGCAACGCGTCTCATTGGCCCCCCCGTACCTCCGAGAGTCGTCGCCCCGGCCAGGCCGCGGCGCACGTTCATCGGCGCCACAGAGTACCAGACGCCGTCCTCATCCGCCCCGTAGTCCAGGCACTCCACTGAGCTGAGGCGCGAGCGCCCATCATATCCGCCCATCACGTACACGCGCTCGTTCAGGGACACCGTCGCCACGTAGCGCCGCTTGCGCGTGATGCTCTGAGGGCAGGCAGCAGAGGGGGATTAGCTCGAGCAAAGTAAGCAGGCATAAGCAGTGCGTTGCCTTACCATTGTGAAGGGCCAATTTAGGCCCTTGGGAAGCAGGAGTTTGCAGCACAGTGGAAGCTGTGCTTTTGGATAAATCATCAGGTCATGGTGCGTTATGTCAATGAATCATCATACAAACGGTGTTAGACCAGAGGACGCCTCTGGTCGAAAGAAAGCTGTCTCTGGTGTGGACCAATCAGTTTCAAAGACAATGCATATATTATCAGAGTATGTTCTTTTTGTTTGCAGACATGATTCCTTGTAAAAGATTTCAGTTTGGTGTTTTAAAATCTTAACACATTTTTTTGGTTGCCAGAAAAAAGGGGAAACCCTATTCTCATATTGTGATTCTAGTTTAGCAGCGAATTGGTTTAAACGGTTAGTTCATTTGTATTAGCACTGCAGAATGAGTGAAAATACATTGAAAAAATCCCCGTGACCCGAACGTTGTGGGAAGGCCCTCATCCAGCAGTGGATTAACGAAAAGGGCTGTACACGTACGTGCACCAGACCTGACAAGGAGCACTCACGGGCAGAAGACTCCAGTCTTGCGATTTAGGGTCGTATTTTTCCACCACGTCAATGGGAGACTGCTGGCTCCCAAAGCCCCCGATCACAAGCAGCACCTCGTTAGCCCCTGCGAGACCAGGCATCGGAAGCACTCTGTGTTAGTAAACACCAAAACGTCTGGAACGATGGCGTCTGTTATTATTGTTGTTGACATTGTAAGGATTAATTAGATATAAAATTTCGATTTAAAGCTTTCGTGACTGCAGGGATTTATCTTCTTGGTTCTTTCGGTAAAGTCACGTAGAAGGGAAATAATAAAATAATAAAAATAAAACATTATAAAATAATTTTCACGATGTTTCGGCCACAACGCAAGCAGCCGTCTTCAGGTGAAAAACATATCTGTCGAGAAGACGGCCACAACGCAAGCAGCCGTCTGTCGAAAAGACAGTGTCTTCTCGACAGACCTGTTTTTCACCTGAGGACGGCTGCTTGCGTTGTGGCCGAAACGTCGTGAGAATTATTTTATTATGTTTTATTTTTATTATTTTATTATTTCCCTTCTACGTGACTTTACCGAAGGAACCAAAAAGATAGATATAAAATATTCAGCTGTGTACAAAACAACCGTTTTTAAATAAGCTAAACATCACTTTTCATTCCCCTCTATAAGATCTGTGCAACAAAATTGTCCCATCAGGCACATAAAGATTAAATGCATTATCAAGTATCATTTGATACTTATAATCGCATGTGACATGCATCTAATTATGTCATAATTATTCAGTTTACGGGGTTATTTGACCAGATTTCAAATTGTCATTTGTTTTTTACAGAAAAATAATAATGGATTTCGCTGCCCTCTATAGCTCACCATGTGGCCCCACAGCCGAATGACAAACGTGTGCATGGTGGCCAACCATCTATGCAGGCTCCTACCTGCTTAGCTTCAAATATCTGACAAGATTGGGCACATTCTTGATGATTTGGTCATGCAAGTGTCACGAACATTAAAAAAAAACAAATAAAACCGATGACTCTCAGTCTTATTGTGCCCAGCATGAAGGAATGTCAACGCAATCTCAGCTCTCCTTTAGTCAGCCAAACGTATGCGTGTGTCAGCCACAGCCGCACTTACACAATGTGCCAAAACACGCGGCTCGTCTCCATGGGCTCGATGCCAACTAAACTCTCAGCACTACCATGGAAAAGCAGCCTGTGTCTGTTCAAGATGTTTTTGTTTGAGAAATATTTAAATAAAGAAAAACAGTTGCGTTAAAAGTTATCAAGAGCCAAGATCAATGCCACAAGCACTCCACACCCATGAAAAACATTGCCTTTCAACTCCAGTTTGGCACTTCATGGTACAGTGCAGGAGCAGTTGAGTCATTCTCATTGTGCATTTTATCAAGCAAATACATTTTTAAATATATCTTTTTGGGGGGGGGGGGGGGGTTTATCAACATCTGTGCTAAGAACAATATTATTTCATGTTACTGGCTTTTAGGCAAACAAAAATGTATTTCCCATCATACGACTGTCAGGTAATCACTAGTCTAATTACTGAATGCATAAATATAACATCACGGGCAATTTGCTGAATATCCTACAACAGGTCAACCAAACATTACACACGTATGTGGTTGTGCTGAATAACTTTCTCATTGCATGTCTACCTATTAAGTAATCAGAGCTGGGAACTGAGCAAATTCTGTTGAAGACAAAATTTGTAGGCAAGTCAAGAGTGACTTTGCGGAGACCATAAACTCACTAGGGTTAAAACCCCAGTTTTATGTTAGGTAACGTCCCAGGATTACAGCGGCAAAGTTAGTGTGCAAGCAGTGAAAATTCACCAGGGCCCATTGACCAGAGGTGCCAGGGTATGAAGAGGGGAAGAAATTGGATAGGGGCCCCCATCTAATTTCTTTGACCAGGATGGGCTCATGTCAAACACGCTTTACCACTACAGGATTCTAAACCAAGGGCTTGGCGGAGCTGGCTTAAGCTAAGTTAAAATGGCGCAACTTTCCTTGGCGTACATTCTGTTAGGTTTTTTTTGTATAGTTGTGCAGAACCCTATACTGAATACGACAAGTAAGTTCCCTTTAATTTTGCAATACTGTTACACAATACCGTGCCATTATAGTCAATCACCGCCCCATTGTGTTAAGAGCGACAGGCCTGGACAGTCAGCCCCCTAAGGAGCTCAATAACACAAAGAAGATATCTAAGAATACAAATATGCCCACGTGGGAAATGAAAAAAGAGTGAGTTTAGCATGTTAAATTAGTAAATGTGTGAAGAACTAAAGTGAGCATGACATGCACCTTCATAGACATCAATTCTGTTCTCCTAGTAAGCATATTAATCCTGTTGTATATTAATATTCGTGTTCAATATGTGCTTCCTGTTTGCATTGACAACTCATTTGACCTTATGCAGCCAATCACAGATATGTTGCGAATTCAATAGGTTGCATGGTTAAGGCCAGCCATGCAATGATGTTTCTAAAAAATTGCAGTTCATAATAAACTGAGAAACGTTGACAAAAAACATCTTTGTCATCAACAACGCTGGAAAAATTAGTTGCACCACTAAAATGATCCTCTAGTCCTCTGACCTACCAGCAGAGTATTATTCAAATTCAGCAGGCATCCCGAGTTAAGATCATTATTAAGTAAACGGATGCCATTTCCAATGCATTCACACTTTGCAACAGAAACATGTTGTTAACACTTAACAACCATATAACAATAGGTTTTACCCTTTCTGGCAAAAAAACAGGTGTCAGGATGTTAAAACACAAAACAGAATCCTTATTCAAGGAATCCTGTCTGCATTAACCACACGTACTTGTGGTGAACATGCAAACAAAAAACATGCTCTAATAATATATGCATTGTCCTTGAAACTGATCGGTCCACACCAGAGACAACTTTCTTTAGTCTCAGTGTGAGACCAGAGAATGCCAAACGGCGAACAGCACAAAGACAATGCACTCAGGGCATCAGGGCATTTACAGCTCGGGGTGAACAGCTACAATATGGGACAGAGCATGTTTTTTATTTACATGTTCACCACAAGTACGTGTGGTTAATGCAGACAGGATTCCTGACACCTGTTTTATTGCAAGAAAGGGTAAAACCTATTGTCATATTTAATACTGGCAGCTGCTCACCCCGACTTAACAACCAACTGTTGGTAAAAAAAAAACAACTGTTGGTAAATGTGTGTTTGTGTGATGTTGTTGTTGTTGTTTTACAACCGACCCAGCCGGGGCTTTGTTCGTGGGCCCTGCATCTGTGCTCGGATCTCCGGCCGCAAGTGGAACTTCTTTGCTTCGTCTACGAGGTCTCTGCACTCCAGGCTCTTGTGAACGAGCGGCTGGAAACGAACACAAATGGCAGTGAAATTGTGGACGAGTTACGAGAAAGTGCAGAAGTAAACGTGAACATATACAGCCCCATTTGTCAATTCATTGACCATACCGCATCGCGATGGTCAGCACAGGTTGGTGAAAGTGTCGGACATTGACATGGCGGCATACAAGTACAACAGAAACATTTACTTTGCCCTCTGCCAGCTGGTGCATAGCACGGCCCAGTGGCTGCCTATAACAGCCTTACGTGCATTGGTGATCAACCTTTCAGGCTCAACCATGTCCGGCTTCCGATATCGGACGAGATCAGACGCATTCAGCTTGATTTGGTCAAATGAAGCATTAAGTAAATGCAATGGATATCCACGCTGTCAAAAGTCCTGGAATGCATTTTTCTGTTTTATCACGCAATTCATAGTCACGTATTCAAGGGGTAAATTTAACATTGGCTAAAGTACACAATGTCACCCAAATTCCTTTCATCATCACTTTTTATTCATCAACACATCGTACGTGAAACCAAAGAGTCTGTGGATATGGTACAAGGTGGAGCAAAAGGAGGTATAACCAAACAGTACTTCATTACATTTACCCACGTGATTACCTAGTTGGACCATGTGGTCACATACAGCATTCTCCGATTGAATAACCATAAAGCTGGCCAATAATACTGTGTCGGCCAATACAATTCAACAAAAATTTAATTGGGTTCATGTATGTACCGTACGCAACCAACCGTGCAAATCGGAGGTGCGGGGGACGGACAACAAACTAAACACTGTTAACGACGGGGCAGTTTCCCCACCTCGGTGTCGATGACGTCGGTGATGAAGCGAGGCGTGAGCAGTGGCATGCGCACATACTGCAGCAGCTCGGGCAGGAAGCGGCTGCGCACCGGCTCGTCGTACTTCACCCAGTTTATCACCGCCTCAAACACCGGCTCCTCCGAGTCCACCTGTCGAGCACAAACACACACGACAACCCAGTCCGTTGAAGTTTGAGATAGAGAGGATGCACAGAGATCATCCCCCTGGCTGCCGTTGCCAAAACGGGGGCCCCCCCCAAAAGGGAACAATGCACCCAAGAGGATGACCACAGTGGAGCGATGAGACCAGCCGAAGTGTGAGAGTGCGATTCACCTCGGCAATCGCAAGACAATAAAGAACGATGAAATTAAGGAGAGGCCTTCATCTAGCAGTGGAGAGGTAACAGATAACGATGAATTTCATAGGATGTGCCACACCAACCAAATAACCACATACTACATGGCTCTAGGACAGTGGTTCTTAACCTGGGATGCACGCAGCCCCTGGGGGTGCGAGATGCAGCACGAAAGTATAACTACTTTGTTTCATCCAACCTATGTATGTATTAACATTATACATTTTTTAACTATTGGGAACCAAAGGGGCGCATGGCTGCAGTAATGGTTAAGAACCACTGCTCTTGGATAAGTGTGGAAATGGCGGCACTTGACTTTGACGTTGTTCTCCATCCAGTGGACAAACAAGGAATTGTATGGCTCGGATATTTTTTTTTAATGATTAATTCATCGGCCAGTCGGCCTTTGCGATGACAGAAATTCCAGTCGCACGTCTAACAAGGACACTTTAAATGTCTTTACATACAGCAAGGTCTCTCACATATAACTTGATGTTGCTGCTGATGCGCAATGTATGAATCTCGTGATCATCAGCCATGGTCAATCCACTGCTGGATAAAGGTATCTGCAAGCCGCCACAACCTGACACAATCCTGCAATGTAACAATCTGCCTAGCACCTCCAGATGAACTGATTTCATCGTTACATCTCTATGGTCCGTCCTCTCAGACGCATTTCATTCCTTGGGGTGCATGTGTACATAGCGATGGTGAGAACAAGCTGTCCTGTCTTTCCCAATTATTATTAGCACCCGCCTGCTCTTTACCCTGACATCACAGTTGGTGGCTCCAGAGCGACCCGTAAAATATTCCTTGACCCCGGGACACCACATAAAAAAGTCACCTCTCGCTACAACTGTGGCTACGGAGTAGTCATCTGCTCCAGGTAGGCCTCGGCAAGGTAAGGTAAAAGTTAAAAGGTAAAAACGAGCCTACCTTTACCCTACCTTTAACCTTACCACAATACAATCACTCTACCCTACCTTTTACCCTTTAGCACAGCGGTCGGGAACCTATGGCTCGCGAGCCATATATGGCTCTTCCGGTGACGGCATATGGCTCCCAGACAATTTTGAGTTGAAAAAAATAAAAATAAAAAAAATCAGTTTAGAACTGATTTTAAAATACTTGTGATATTGCTTAATAATATTTGTGTCATTTAAAAGTAAACAGAAATTAGTTTTGAAGATAAATTTCACGGGTCACGCCTGCACGAAGCTCAACCTCACCACGTACGAACCAGACTACAAGGCCAACAGCAAAACCATGCAGCACCAGAAGTCGCATTAAAAGTAAGACATATTTAATTTATTATACGTTAAAAATACTATATGGCTCTTAATGAAATATATTTAGAAATATTTGGCTTTTATGGCTCTCCCAGTCAAAAAGGTTCCCGACCCCTGCTTTAGCAGGTAAGGTAAAAGGTAAAAAGCAACGAGCCTACCTTTACCCTACCTTTTACCCTTACCCCATACATATTACCCGATTACAGAGTAATTACTGGGGTACTACTGTAGTGACATAGAACGGTCACTACTGTGTCGGCCCGTACGAGGGCTGGGGGCCCCAAGGGGGTGCCTGGGGGGTCACGTGGTGGAGGGATCCGGACCTTCCCAGAGGTGGGGGAAGGGAGGCGTGGCCTGGGAAGGGAGGCGTGGCCTGGGCGGAGCCGGCCACGCCAGAGACGAGATATAAGCGTGGTGTGAACGCAGAGCAAGGCTGTTGTACTTGGACTCCGAAGAGTGAAGACACCATTGGTCGTCAAGTCCCGAGTCGTCGTCCTGGGCCAGGCAGGCCGTTGCCTGCCTGGTCCAGTCTGTGTCGCGTTCCAGAGTGTTAGTGAGTTGAGGAAGGTGGTCACCTTCCTCTGCTGTCAAGGCTGGGCGCCTTGACAGCTTATATATATGCTCCAAGCTCGTGTGCTGTTTCATTCAGACTCTGTCGCCTCGACGGACCTGGTTTTCACCTGAGGACGGCTGCTTGCGTTGTGGCCGAAACGTCGTGAAAATTAAATTTCGATTTAAAGCTTTCGTGACTGCAGGGATTCATCTTCTTGGTTCTTTCGGTAAAGTCACGTAGAAGGGAAGTAATAAAATAATAAAAAATAAAACATAATAAAACAATTCTCACGACGTTTCGGCCACAACGCAAGCAGCCGTCCTCAGGTGAAAACCAGGTCCGTCGAGGCGACAGAGTCTGAATGAAACAGCACACGAGCTTGGAGCATATATATAAGCTGGGCGCATTGACAAAGGAATTTGCATATCAAAAGGAATTTAGCATATTTATGGGAAATGCAGGAATGTGATTAGTACTGCATATGCATGTGCATTATGCAGGATTAACAGCATCAAAGGGAGCTGCAGTTACTGCTGCTGCAGCAGTTGCTGCTGCTGCTGCAGTTTCTGCTGCTGCTGCAGATGCTGCTGCAGTTGCTGCTGCTGCTGCACTTGCTGCTGCTGCTGCACTTGCTGCTGCTGCTGCACTTGCTGCTGCTGCTGCAGTTGCTGCCTTATCCATTTTAATATAACACTATGTATTATTCTACCCACCCTAATGTGTATCATACTGCTATATGTTTACTGTACAATTACGACACCATACATTACTCTGCACACTGCACCATGCCAGTGAGTGGAACGTGGTCTGAAAGTCACCGTAAACGTGAACACAATCAGTTAAGATCCGAAATGGTTTATTACGTCCTTCCAATGATTGCTAAGCCAGAATCCATCTTCTCGGTTGAAATTGTCTCTGTGTTTGTATATGTGGATCGCCTCATGAACGAATCTCTCATGATAGCCAGATGGCTTGCAGAGAACCTCTGTCTTGGAGAAGTCAATGTCATGTGAGCCCACTGAATTGTAACAGTGATCTGCCACGGCTGAGGTGTTTGTCCTACCGTGTTTCAGGTCTGCCTTATGTTCACGGATGCGGTCCGAGACATGTCGTTTGGTTTCTCCAATGTAACTGCTACCACAGAGGCAACTTAGTTTGTAGACGCCAGGGTACTGTATGTCTGGAACCACATCTTTTACAGACGGGACCAGATCACGGATTTTATGTACTGTGTTGAATCGGACCTGGATCTTGTGTTTAATCAGGATTTTGGAGATCTTTTTTGTGACCCCAGCAATGTAGGGTAAGGTGATGGTCGTGAAAATTATTTTATTGTTTTATTTTTATTATTTAATTACTTCCCTTCAACATGACTTTACCGAAAGAACCAAGAAGATGAATCCCTGCAGTCACGAAAGCTTTAAATCGAAATTATTATTTATGTTATGTTTTGGCTTGGTTCTAATTGTCCACACTCAACTAAGGTTGGCTGTAATTGGCCACGGTCCCTTACGTTATGGCAAGCTTCGGGGCCACTTCCTGGAGTCGTGGAGTTCTGCCATTATTAGTACATTAATAAAAGCATGTTTTTAAAAAAGTTTTTTATATTACTTATTAAATGGAGGCCATGGACTGCGCCACGGAGCTTTTAGCGGTAAACAAGGTACCGTATTTACCGGGTAATAATTCACAGCTACCTTAACCCTTCCGAGTAATTCTTCCGAGCTACCTTTACCCTACCCTTTACCTTACCCCTTGGCATGTCAACACCTTTACCCTTTTACCCGGTAAAAAGGGTAAATTACCTTACCTTGCTGAGGCCTATCTCCAGGCTCGCCACGACCCGGGAAAATATTCATCATTGTCGTCGTCATCACCTGTATCTCGTCGCACTTGATGAGCTTCTGCACCTCGGGCTGGGGCAGCAGGCGGAACTCTTCGTTGTACACAACGTCGGGAAAGTGCTTGAGGCTGAAGAGCTCGGCCGCCTGCTGCAGATCCATGCAGCTGTGAGCCTCGGCAAACTCACGGATGCCGAGGCAGTTGGAAGGGTCCAGCTGGCTCTCCAGGAACTCGCAGCATGCCTGCTTCACGCCTGCGACGATGTGCGAGCGGTGCAGCGCAACAGTGGTGGGCGAGAGAAAATGTAATCGGTATTTATTGATTATAGAATACTTGTATGTACGTAGAACTTCTTTCGCAACGTACGTAGCCAACCGTGCTAAGCAGAGGTGCGGGAAAGGACAACATAATACAAAATGCAGTTCTAAAGAAATTAGTTTTCACTTCACGTGAATCAAGGTGTCTCAGAAAATTTAACTTAAACTAAACCATTTTTATTTTACCAAGCAAGGTCCAGAAGAGATAAAAAGCTCTTTTTCAGAAGCAACCTGGCCACAAATTATATCCCAATGAAGTGGCTCATTATGTGGAAATTTATAGCAGCCAAATACTCTAAAAGCATGTTTCCAAATGTGGAGGGAAAAAAAATCGGAGGAAGCAGAGAAAAACCCACGCGACCATGGGGAGAACATACAAACTCCAAATATACAGGCATTAGGATCGGGATGGAACTTAAGACCTCCTGCATACCAGGCAAGGTAATTAACACATCTTGCCAATAATGTATTGAATGAGACATTTATGTTAAAATAACAAAGGGAGGACGGAGAGAAAAACTACTATGTGGTCAAACGAGAAAAAGTGACTAATTGAACATCAACCGAGGAGATGGAGCGATAAATTTCATTCACATGCAGGTGCTATCTAGATTATTACATCACAGGATTGTGAGAGGTGGTGCCAACTTTGGACAGGCCTTCATCCAGAAGTAGATTGATCATGATACGATGAAAGGAAATTCATCGGAGGTATAAAAATTATTTCTACCTCAGAGATGTACCAATGTGATTGGCTGGTGTGCAGGTCCTGGGGTGGGGATTGGTGCATCGCTGGACTGAAAGATTGGAGCAACTTTGGGAAGGCCTTTATCCAGCAGTGGATTGATCATGGCCAATGCTGACAATGACGCAGGAAAAAACCAGTGACATTGAGAGAATCGTATATATTTCCAAGTGAAATTGATAATATAATAATTCACCCTTTAACTGTAGGAGGCAGGCAGCCGGGAGCAGCTCCTGAACATTCTCCACCGTCACGTGAACAGTCTCCGTGTAGACAAAGTCCAGCAGAATTTCCATGGTGGCAGCTGTCAACCCTTGCAGGTCCACACAAGGTTTGTCCTTCTCCGACAGCTGACAAACATACAGAGGACATGGCACAATTTTGGATTTGAAAATCTGCACATATTTATCACAACTCCCAAGTGTTTAAACGGTCGGCCAGAATAGATGTACACATCACACACTGAATCTGAAGTTTTTATATGGATATAATAAATTCACAGCATTTTTCAATTCACCAGTGGCTTAAGGCCTACCCCCATGCCGTGCCGGTCACAGCTGTCCATACTTCACTGTGCCGGTCATTGAGAATTGGTAAACACGAGGAAGGACCCAAGACAAGTTCAGATATCACTCAGCACTAATGTTAGCCATGGCCAGAATAGAAACCAAGTCGCAGAGTTCACAGCACAGCGTGTTAAGAACTCTGTCAGTACTTCACTTACACTTATTGACAAATTCACATCCCCAAATAATCTAAATCCACAGCATATTCAAGTAAAAAAAAGGATTCGTTCAAATAAACTTCAATGCACATATCGATGAACTTATATGTACAGCATTTCAGATGTTGCTTGTACAGGCATTAATATAATTGTATCACGCTTTTTTATTTATTAGCATTTTATAAAACAACAACATAGGCCCATAACGCTCTAGATGACAACAAAAACCGGACAGGGACAAACTCGGCGCCCTCAGACCCGACCAGTCTCTATATAAGTTGGGGGAATTGAACCGAGGATGTAGGAAGGGGGGTAAACATCAATCCCCTCTTTCACACAAGGTAATCGCAGATGGTAAGGTAAAGAAGGGGTGGGGGTACATTCAACTTGTGGAGGGGTAGTCCCAGGCTTGCCGGGAAAGGAGGTGAGGGGGCCCAGGGGGAATTTGATCTCTCTTAACCAGGCCCAGCACGAACTCCACTCAGATAGCCTTACCAGTAGAGCTGTTGTGTGGGTCACCATAGTAGTGATAACCCGCTAAGCAGAATAAACTTGTGGCCTTGAGGGACATTTGGTGGTGCGGGGGCCATCCCAGCATCCTGCCCTCCCCTGACGCCAGCCCTGCTCTTAGAACTATTGTTATCGCTTCATCGCTCACAACTACCATGGCCGTGAAATTCATGTCTCGATAAAGGCACCAATGTCAAGAAATCGCTCTATCAGATTGACTATTTCCTTTCATCCGTGCAGTGTTCAAATGAAATGATGCAGAACACAACATTTCCCTTCCTCCTCCTTTCCTCACACTGCACAAACTGTGGACTTTCCCCCCTTCCTGTAACCTCATTCAACACAATACATGTACGAGTTATTATCTGCTATACTATCAGCAGTTGTCAGTTTCTGGTAGCTGCACATTATAGGACATTTGTTCTTTGCTTAGAAACTGCAATTATATAAATGTAATCCAGAATAGCATTGATACAATCATTCGAAGAGCTTATTTAATGGACATTGCACTGCACTGTCTCTGACGAAATCATGCAGAATGCGCCAAATCTTTTCAGGTCTCAAGAGCTAGGTAGGCTTGAGCATGGTTAGTGCTTGAAATGGTGGCCATGCACCATGCATGGCAGGTCGCCAAAATTACAGTAAAACCTTGGATTGCGAGTAACTTGGTCTGCGAGTGTTTTGCAAGACGAGCAACATTTTTAAATTAATATTAATTTGATAAACGAGCGAGGTCTTGCAGCACGAGTAGTACGTGTATACGCTTTGTCTGCTGAGCATCACGTGATCACAACTGATAGACGAGTGCTTTGGATTACAAACACGTTTCCGGAACGAATTATGATCGCAATCCAAGGTTTTACTGTAGTTGGTGGGCGGCAGTGGGCAGTGAGGAAAATATATAATATTGCTCAACTATTTTCTAGGATCTCTGGTTCCCACCTACGCTAACTCGCGTTGACGAGCTCTGCACAGGCTGGTAAAACAACCACCACAAACCGAAGAGCCATGAGGATGCCCTCATCCAGTAGTGGATTGACGAAAGGCACTGCACACAACAAAAACCGTCATTCACCACAAAGTGGCGGTGACGCCGCCACACCACTTGTGCCAGGCTAGGTGCCCTTTGAGGTCACGTGAAACGTCCAAGGCAGGCGGTCACGGAACAGCCCCAGATGCCACAGGTTGCCTGACTGAGATGACTGGCAGATGCACAAACTGTGCGCCCAGCTAACACTGTACACATTTTCACAAGGTACCTCATTGGTGAACATGGCGCAGAAGTAGTCGCTGCAGGCGGCGAGGACGATCCGGTGAGCAGGGAAATCCATCTCGTCAACGCGGAGCGTCACGTCGCACAGTGTGTTGCTCTTGCGCAGTGCGTTCATGGCGTTCAAGATGGACTTGGCGTGCGAGTTGGTCATGATGTCTCGTGGGGCGATGCCGCCCGTCTTGCAGGTCGGCGGCTCTCCTTCACCAACCTGTGAGCAGGAAATTAGTTCAGAGGTGGCCGAAACATTTTTTTTATGTTTTACTATATTTGAAATCATTTGGCGAGAGACAATTCACGCATGTTATCTTGATGTGGTCTGATACTGTTTTTGCTGTTGTTTTGATGCCTTGCCCAAGATTGGAATTTGGTGTACTTATGAAATTTGAACTTATATACTTTATCGAATTCATTTATTTCATTTATAGTGATTTGCTTACCTTTCCCATACCTTGCACTCCTTTAGTTTTTTGTATCGTTTGTTATTATAACTTTCCGACCAACTACAACTGAACATCTGTGAAAAAGTGCTTCAAAGCTCATCGGATTTCTCCACGATAAATAAAGCTTCCGATCATACTTAGACGTGTATGCAAATTTAGACATACAGTATAAACGACACGGGTGGAGTTCTATGAACAGAAACACCTGAGTTTCATTCCCTACCACAGCTAACATCAATGGCGAGTAATATTCGAATCGGTCCTGGCCTCCCCCTTCACCAACCTGCACTGACCAGTGTTTTGATGTTTGATCAAACAGCCCATATGACCAATGTGATGTGTGCAGGCACCAGTCATTTGAAATAGGGCTGTACATATTGACATGTGCCTGTGACCAAATCACCCAGAATGCAGCCGATCCCTACAGATGTCATAAGTTGCACCTGGACAGTGCTCAAAACGGTGACCACCCTGCGTACCAGGTGTTATAGGCTTGCAGGGCTATGTGATGGGCATCAAGTGGCAGAACAGATCACCAATTACCTATTGTTGTACTGTATTTCTATGTTTGAATCTATATGCTTCCCGTCATCAAACCACACAGGCTTGCTTGGTGAAGTATGACAAAAATTACCCCCACGAATGGCACGAGGTGAGAAGTTCCCTACCCAGCATTGTATTGACGTCGGCTTGTACCAATATTTAAAATCCATATTTATTACCCAACAGTCAAATGAAGAGGCATTTTAAAGGACATTTAAAAAAAAACTCAAGCGCCACATACTTAAAATTATACTGTGTACTGAAATCTTTAAGTTAAATATGCTCTCCCATTTTCATCACAGTATTTACATCATTTCCAGATGTTTATATATGCAAGCTACAACGTTTTAAAATGGCAATACCATTCATACTTGAGTGCAAACTTGCACATCGCGGAAATGGGGACAAGGTGGATCTCAGGGTTTACAAGACTTGATTGGGTGCATAATGAAGAGACGTGGAAGAAGACAAGAATACGACCCATCTCAGGCAAGCTCAAAGTCGGCTCGGATGGCGAGAGGGCACGTTGGAAGGAAAAACAGAGGAACAGTCACTCGTGCGAAAAAATGTCATAAGTATGGACTCAGCAGGGCTGAGAACGAGAGGCAAGCCTAGAAAGAGTCGGTTTTGGAGTGGTGAATCAGGCTAAGGAGGAATGCGGAGTGGACATGGAGATGGCCCAGGCCTGATATGAGCGGTGGTGGACCAGGATGGCAGGGCCTCAAAAGTAGGGAAAGTAACAACATAAATGTACTGTAGTTCACATTGTGATCCTGGAGAAATTAATAAACATAGGACCATAATGTGATTCACCAAACACAAGCGGAAAAGAGGTTTAACGTTTCATAACAATAATGATTAGTCGAAAACTTTTAGTCATTACCCCGATTATAAGAGGTCCAATTGTGACCTCTGTTGAAATGGTGGAACGAAATCAGCTCTTGTGCAGATGCTAGATTGTTACATTACAGGCCTCTGAAAGATACTGATGGCATGAAGGCCTTCATTAATCATATGAGGGGCAACTGCCAGCTTGATAAAACGTCGGACATATATTTGACCGAGCTTGTAATTCTCAAATTGAGAAACTATGTAAAAAAAAGTCCACTTAAAAGTGTTTCTTGGCTATATGTTAAAGTCCCACATGTTTTCAAGTTGGGCATCACCGTGTCTCTAAAATATGGTTAAGTGTCCCACGTAGTTCAGCTCAAAAGCCCATTAAGCAAATTTCAGAGAAAGTTCATGTCACGTGTATTTGCTCTATAAAAGTATACCCTACTGTAATACTTAATGTAATATACAGTCATATAACAGGACCCTGCGGGGTGGGCTGGTAGGAATAATACTTAGTACCGGTACAGAGATATCGACCGGGTATAGAGGAGTTAAAGAAAAAATTACTGTATTCTAGTGTAACATTAATTAAAAGTGTTTGTTTTGACAAGAAACGCTGTGAGATTTAAAGACTCGTAGTCTTTCATTTCCAACACCACCCTCAACACCACCCCTCCCACGGACGGACGGACGGACACATTAATCTATTGGTGGTCTGGTCCACTTCGTTCCTACCAGTATTAATCCACTTAAATTCAGGCCTGCCAATTGCCAGCACCAACTGGCGTAAATTATAATTAAAACCTCTATTATTCTATCTTAACTTGACCAAACATCCCGATATATGACCTTCCTGGAAGTGTTCAGACTCGACTCTCGTGGTTAAATAAATGCTTTCATCAATAAACATTAAAAAATATTACTAAACTTGGCGTTGACCTGTCTCTTTACTGTATCGACTGGTAAAGCCCCCTTTTGTCACCCAAGGACGAGTGTTTGCCCAGACCGTGCGGGTGGGTCGTGGGGGGGTTTTAACCATATTTGACCATACTTCACCAACGGTGGTGAGTGCGGGTTGAAGGCGGGGAGCATAGACGTGGGATGAGAGTACAATATAACAATTTAAGATTCTGCAACGACCCTCTGCTGCCCACGTATTTGTCTTACTACAAGAGGCATTTAATTCCTTTCCACAAACATGTGGGTTGTTATCCTTGCCGCAAACACCGTGCGTGGTCTAACAAAAGCACACGCAATCACGTGGATATCTCCCTAAGAGGTATATTATCGCATTACGTTCAACCACGAAATTTACTTATAACAAGTATAAAAATAACACGCCCAATAATAACCATCATGCTCCTTAACAACACACGCAGCCACGTGGCGGGGTTCGGTATTGCGTCTCAGGCACAATCACCAACCCATTCCCATCGTGACTACCGTCACCTGCTTTCTCTGGGAAACATTAGCAATGCATCTTAATAACTCATAGACATTTAGCAAATCCACTGCTGGATGACCGGGGCCTATCCCCTCCCCCACGTGGATCTTAGGGGTTATTTAACCATACTTCACCACGTTAGGTCAGGGCGAGGCTGGTGAAGGGGAGTCCATCTATGAAATTATGAGATATCTCTGCCCAAAGACGTTAACCGGCGGCCGAGATGGAATAGACCCGTGGTCTCCACGTCCATAGCGCAGTGCGCTAACCGCTGCACCACCGCTCTACTAAACATACAAAAAACCCGAACAAATCGCGCGTGTTGCTAAGAGGCGACATTGGTAAATGTTACAACATCGCAGCGACGGCGAGAGACGGTGATGGCGATGGAATACAGCCGTGAGGAGTGGAGAGGAGGGGGGGGGGTGGCCCTCATCCAGCAGTGTGGCACAGCCACAGCTGACGAATTCCGACAACGACGACGGACGATCATGATGGTAGCGGTAAAGAAACTTTACCGCCACCCACAACGATGGACTGTTTGACATTTACCGTGGCCTCTGCCATCGTCGAGGCCGCTGCTTGACGTCTCAGCACAACCCCATGAGGAGAAGGCAGGAGGCAGGAGGTGGTGGTGGTCGATGGGTCAAGGCCCTCTCCTCTCGGCGGCCCACGGCCCTACTGGGAGGGGGGGCCGAAGCGATCCCCAGATTCCAAGTGGCCGCCACGGGATCCGGATCCCTGTAATGCGGAATGGAGTCGGCAGAGGAGGGGGGTGGAGTCTGATCTCATTGGTTGACGCCCACTTCTCTCATCGCCCCGCCCCGCCCTCTGCACCCGCCCGTTTAGATTGACCCCTGCACGTGACCTTTAAACTCGTTGTTGAACGGGCAAACGCAAAGCTTCTTGATAATTGGTGTTTTTTACCCTTCTATCTGGCAACAAAACTGACACCTTTTTACAAGGAGTCATGTGGAAACCCTCCCCGTAGAGGCGGTTAAATTTTGATTTGAAGCTTTCAGGAGTCATGTTTGCATAGACCGCAGTCGTAATACAAACAAAAGAACATAACTCTGATAATGTATGCACTGTCCTTGAAGTTGATTGGTCCGCACCCGAGACAGCTTTCCTTAGAGCCTAGTCTCACATGGTGTTGGACCAGATGACGCCAAAAGGCGCCATCTTCAAGGACAATGTACATTATCAGAGTTATGTTCTTTTGTTTGTATTATGACTGCAGGTATTGCGGTCTATGCAAACATGACTCCTTGTAAAAAGGTGTCAGTTTTGTTGCCAGATAGAAGGGTAAAAAACCAATTATCATATTTTTACTGGAAAATGAGGTTCCCATAGTGCAAAGCTTCTTCTTGGTTCTTTCGGTAAAGTCACGTAGAAGGGAAATAATAAAATAATAAAAATAAAACATAATAACATAATTCTCACGACGTTTCGGCCACAACGCAAGCAGCCGTCCTCAGGTGACGAACAGGTCTGTCGGGAAAACAGCGTCTGAATGAAACACCCCAGGCTTGGAGCGTATATTTAAGCTAGGTTGGAGGGGGAAGAGAGCCTTGACAAAAAAAATTGCATATCAAGAGGAATTTAGCATATTTATGGGAAATGCAGATATATTGGATTAGTCACTACTTGTGAAATGCGTAGGAGGTGGGCGGGGGGTTTCAAAGTCATATTATGCCCGTGCATTATGCATCTGGTTATAAGCTCAGAGCATCACTGGTACATCTCCAGCCTCACCCTTGCCAGGGATTCGGCTTTGCCCAGAGGGCTCTTCTTTTCAGGCTCCAGGTTGTTCTTCAGTCTTCAGCCGGACGATACTGAGCTGAGGCGTTCAGGGCCCTGGCTTATACTGGTAGGAACCTCCTGGTTACACCAACCCACAGGGGATTATTGTGTCCGTCCGTCGTGCATCCAAAAATTGGAGGGGTGGGGCTGGGTGGAGAGGGAAGAGTGGGGAGGAGCTGGGCGGGGAGGGTGGGGAGGGGCTGGGTGGAGAGGGTGGGGCTGGGTGGGGGGTGGGAGGGAGGGGTGGGGCTGGGTGGAGAGGGGAGAGTGGGGAGGAGCTGGGCGGGGAGGGTGGGGAGGGGCTGGGTGGAGAGGGTGGGGCTGGGTGGGGGGTGGGAGGGAGGGGTGGGGCTGGGTGGGGAGGGGCTGGTCACCCCGTGGTCCCCTTATAAAACTCAACGTTTAACCTACTCACGCCGGCTTGTGCCCGCCCTCACAGCCGGGCATATTTGCGGAATACACCACGCCGCCGTTGACCCTGGCCCTTGACCGAGCAACCCAACGTTCCTACCAGCTCCCTCCGCAGGAATGTGTTATACAGGGTCCCGGCTCACTCCGCCCCTGACCACGCCTCCCTTTCAGAACCTTCTCGAAGTTCCTGGAGAATGACCTCATCCCCCAGCCCCCTTCCGGGGCCCTGGGGTCCCCAACCGTTTGTCCCCGATGCTTCCCCCCCAGGGATTGCCTCGGGCCAACTTGCCCATCATCATCACTCTTGGGCAGGTCCCGCCTCCCTTCTGCTCTCTACTGGCCTGAGCTAGTACTGCCGGCTATGAGTCGTGGCGATCAAGGCCAACCATGCCACTTCATGTGCGTTGAACTTCTTTCGCACCGTACACAGCGAACCGTGATAATCAGAGGTGCAGGGGAGGGGCCAACAAATGTTTTGTTAAAACAGGCCGTTTTAGTGGCAACGGAGCCGAAACCACTTAAACAATAGACTCATTGTTGGGTTGGAGAGTAGCCCAGCCAGCAACCAACCAGTAAACTCAAGGGAGATATTTGTTGTATTGTTATAAACTATTAGTGTGGGGTGTACGTCTTTAAAATTAAAATCAATTATTTTCTGATGCTTGCTTTGACAGTGGTGGTGCACAAGATCAATTAAGAAAAAAAAACACGAAACACGTTCCATCAAAAACAACACTGGCCTTAAATATATCTAATAAGTGACGTTTCGGGTAAGAGCCCTTCTTAATAACAAAGAAACTAGAGAGTTGATAATAAGAGTTGGAGACTGCACTATACACTATGGGGCCTGATAAGAATAAAAACATCAGTTTTGACTGCACGATATAAATATTATTTGCTTAATATTTTAAATATATTTATTTGTATAAAATATAATTTACAATTACTTAGGCTCCGCCTATCCCTCCATGGTATTGCCCTACCTTATCCATACCTGTCAACCCCTTATCCGTGCCCTACCTTATTACAGACCAATTCAGACCTTATTTGTTACGCCGTGCCCTTATACATCTCAACGTTCATCCTACAAAGTTCCATCACAAGGGAGAAACACAACGCTCCCAATCTGGACCCTCGCTCTCCGTGCCTCCCCAGCCTTGCGCCCAGTCGCTTCTTCGTACATTGTCCCTTCTTGACCCCCTTCGCTTGAACAAACTTCCCACTGCACATGAAGAAATCATCTCCACAAACCTGCTTCCGATCCTCCCTTAAAACAACCCCCATCTTTTCTCCCCTTGCCCATGTTGCTGCTGCTGCTACTCCCTGCCCTTACCCCCCAGCTATGACCAGGCTTATCCCAACCCCTATCACTACCCCAAACCCTATCACTACCCCAACCCCTATCACTACCTCTATCACTACCCCAACCCCTATCACTACCCCAACCTCAATCACTACCCCAACCCCTATCACAACCTCTATCACTACCCATAACCCTACCCCTATCACTACCCCAACCCCTATCACAACCTCTATCACTACCCATAGCCCTAGCCCAACCCCTATCACTACCACAACCCCTATCACAACCTATATCACTACCCATAACCCTACCCCTATCACTACCCCAACCCCTATCACAACCTCTATCACTACCCATAGCCCTAGCCCAACCCCTATCACTACCACAACCCCTATCACAACCTATATCACGACCCATAATCCTACCCCTATCACTACCCCAACCCCTATCACTACCCCAACTACTATCACAACTTCTATCACTACTCATAACCCTACCCCAACCCCTATCACAACCTCTATCACTACCCATATCACTACCCCAACCCCTATCACTACCCCAACCCCTATCACAACCTCTATCACTACTCATAACCCTACCCCAACCCCTATCACTACCCCAACCCCTATCACTACCCATAACCCTACCCCAACCCCTATCACAACCTCTATCACTACCCATATCACTACCCCAACCCCTATCACTACCCCAACCCCTATCACTACCCCAACCCCTATCACTACCCCAACTACTATCACAACTTCTATCACTACTCATAACCCTACCCCAACCCCTATCACTACCCCAACCCCTATCACTACCCATAACCCTACCCCAACCCCTATCACAACCTCTATCACTACCCATATCACTACCCCAACGCATATCACTACCCCAACTTCTATCACTAGCCCAAACCTTACATAACCACTTCCACCTATCCTAACTGTCACCGTAACTACACCACCGCTTTAAATAAACCCACTCTTTATTTCAAACACTATAATCTCACGTGCAATTGTATTATTTCTGCAATTCACCATGGAATAAGACGCTCAATAAATCTATATGAGATAGATAACTCAAGGACCGTCCCCTCTTCTGTTCCTCTTCGCTTGAGCAAGCTCGAAGTTACCAGCTGGAGTCACCAATAGGGGCGCTATTGACAAGTGCATGGCCGATACCATGCCTCGGTACGTGAGCTTTTAACAATTACTGTTCTAACAAAGATGCTGTGTCGTTAAACCCGCCACCACCCGACACAGCCAATTAGTAAAGTTTGTCACGTAAACAAAACATGCCGATTCGTTACTGGTACAGCACACCGGTGTGTTGGAGAGCAAATCCATAACATTTACAATCTGAGTACGACGTTTCGCCAGTAATTACAATTAGCATTATCAGGTGGACAGCCAGATTTGTGGGAAAAAAACAATATTATGGATGATTTTGGTCGCAAAAGCTTATGTGTTAAACGAACAAAGATGTTGTTCAATCATATATAGTATCTTGATTGCAAAAAAGTATTTAAGCAAAGTCGCCGTAGTAGATTTATTTGAGTGAAATGTAAAAATAACTTACTCTGATATGTTTGATAGAATATTAGATACAAAAAAACCTAGAAACTATATTTTTTATTTTACCAGCTAAGGCCCACTGAACTATTTAGCTATTTTTCATCAGCCACCTGGCCACAATTGATAGATCAACGAAGTGGCTTATCACGTGGAAATTTATAGCTGCCAAATCATCTAAACGCACGTTGATTTTAAATGTGGTGGGAAAAACCGGAGGATCCGAAGGAAAAATCCATGCGACCACGGAAAAAACATGCAATCTCTAAATATACAGCAGGCGCCAGGGTCGGCATCGAACCCAGGACATCCTGTATACCAGGCGAGGCCATTAACATCTGACGCCCTTATATCTTTTTGTGAAGAAAAAAAAACGACGGCACTGTAAGTGAGATATTAAAAATCTCTGAAAAATCTAAATAAATAGGATGTGGTATATACGCGAAGCTCCCCCCCCCCCCCCATGGTAAATAGTGCCTAAGGTGGACATTGTTCGTGGTAGACTCATCCCATGGTGAACACGGCGCTTAGGGGCCGTCCATAAATGACGTCACGCACCTGCGGGGAGGTCAGACATTTGTGACGATGTGTGACGAGTGGGGGGGGGGGGTTAAGAAATGTGACGTCAGATCAAAATGCGCAACTTTTAATAAATATAGACAACACGTTCTACTTA